GTCCCTTAAGAATTAGAGTTAGTTTGTTCATTTGGGTTTTTCTTGCTTCTTAATGTAGGCATTTAATGCTATTCTTTCTCATTTTAGGTTCTAAACTAATGAGTACTAGCGATGTAATGCATAACATGATGCCTATAACTAACAGTGATGTATGATATACAAGAACATTGTTAAGACAGCAAATCTTAAGAGTTCACATCAGAAGGAAAAAGTGTCATTCTTTTTCATTATTTTTTACTGTATCTATATGAGAAGATGAATGCTAGCTTAACCCATTGTCATAGTCATTTCATAATACACAGAAATCAAAATTGCTTTTAACTTCTACAGTGAGAATATCAATTATTCTCACTAAACATGGGGGGGGAAATGAGTTTAAAAAAAAAAAGTGTAAACCGTAATCATGAGAGCTGGCATTTCCTGAACCCTCTGTCTGTATGAGACAATAAAGAAAAGGTAGCCTGGATAGAACTACCAGCTAGAAAATATGGTCTCTTTTTGGGGGAAACATTGAAGAGTGGCCCCCACTTACCAGGAGACAGCTCCTGAAGGGTCTGGAGGGCTGGGGGGGATTGAAAAGCTGGAGGGCGAAAATGAAAGATGTTCCAGGTGGTGGAACAGCCTGGACAGAGGCTCAGCACTGACCCAAGTGCACTACTGCCCAAGAGAAGCCCTGAATCGTGTGCCCTCCATGTGGCCTTGTGTGGGACTTGGGATTATCGCAAAATACAGATGGAGAGGAAAACTGTCATCCCTTTGCTATGGCCAGCAGGGGAAGAACCAGAACTGGAGGAGACTGACTTCACATGAAATGTAGCTTTGCCTCTGACTGGCTGTGTGGCCCTGGAGATGTCACTTCCCCTCTCTGAGACTCAGTTGCCACACCTATGCCAAGATCCTTCACTGCATCACTCAGTATAAACAAGAACTGAGTAAGATACAATGTACAAAGATTGAATATGGGATTTCTCACAGTCTTTGACAGTAATTCCAGTGTGTAGAGGCTGACATTCATCTTGTGCTCACCAGTGTCAGACTCTGTTTAAGCATTTTCCATTCACTGACTCATTTAATCGTCACAACCTTGCAATTGGGAGGTTTTTCTGTTAACTCCCCTGGGCAGTGAGAGAACTGTGGTTCTAGTAAGTTGCCTGAGATCACACAGCTGACAAAGGGCAGAGGCCAAGTCAAGCTCAGCCCTTTCCAGCTCCTCACCTCACGTGTATCAGGAGCCCCGGCACGGCCTGCACTGAGAGGTCCTCTTTGGAGAGCTCAGGAGAGCTGGTCCAAGGCCCCCAGCTGCCCCGGGGGCTCAAAGGCTTCCTGGATGACTTGGCTCTGTGAGGCAGCCTTCATCCGGCAGAAGGCCCATAAGTGAAGCAGCCGCTGGTGCAGGCCTCTGTGTGGCCGTGGTCTCACTTAGCCCAAGTCTCCCATGAGGACGACAGTGTTTCTTCCCTCACAGAATCGCACACAGCACTGAGATGGCTCCTCAGCAAATAGGCAAACGTTCCCTGGGCTTCTTGTCAGGAAAGTCAGACACCCTCGTGGAAAAGAGAGGCCCGGGGACCCTGAGGTGACAGCCTGAGTGATAGCTCTGCAGAGGTGACCCAGCTGTGAGTAAGGGGTCTCTGCTCCCCACTCCCAGGCAAACAGGGAAACTGAGGGCTTGCATGTTGAGGAAACAGAAGGGCCACAAGAGGAACCTCATCAGCCCTGGGAAGAAGAGACCAAGGCCAGGACAGCGGGACCTGCAGGGGCTGGGGAGAGGTGGCTGAGTATGGGAGCCAGGATGTCACCTCTCTGAGCAAGCGATCCCATAGCCATGGGTTTAAATCCTAATCCTGCCATTTGCTATGCTGTAACCTTAATGAGTCACTTGTCCTCTTTGAGTCTGTTTTCTAATCTGTCCTGTGGGGACAAGAGCAGTGTCTCCTGGCAGAAGATAGCTGTCAGGAAGTCATGAGATTAGGTGTGCTGGTGGAGACAACTCTCCATCAGGAGAGAGTCAGCAGAAGTTAGCAGAAGCATAGTGAGGTTGTTGCTGTGTGACCTCAGATCACTTTCTTGCCCATCCTGGGCCTCATGTTCCCATTTGTAAGACAATAAGTTGCAGCTAGATAATCCCGAAAGTCCCTTCCAACTTCAGATCCGGTTCTCCACTACCCCGATTGCTCCTATCTTGCCATACCTGAAATCTCAATGGAAGGAATGCAAGAGACCACACAGGAGGTGCAGAAATGGCTTTTTATTGCTAGACTGGAGGGTGCTGAGTGCAGGGTGTCCTGACTGCGGGGAGGGCTCTCTGAGAGTGCCCTTGACTGGGCTCAGTTGTCCCTCCTGATGGATGCTGGCAGCACGGACCGTCCCAGAGGGAGACGGTTCAGAGATTCGGTCAAGATTCAATCTGAAAGGAGACCCCAGTGTGAGGCATGGACACCCCGAGGCCCTTACCGGCTCCTGCATTCACCAGACATAGTGGCAGGAGTGCTTCCCCACAAACCCTGCGGCTCTGAGGCTTGGGGAGGGACTGGCACCTGTGATTTGGGGTCTTTCTCTGGCCCCTGGCACTGACCCCTCCTCATCCCCTCACCCTCCCACCCCCTCACCTTAGCAACAATGACTGATGCGAAAAGACTGATCAGGGCCAAGGGGAGCCAGGGTTCAGGGCTCAGCGTATGATCAGGATCAGGGATCAGACTGAGATGCAGGTCAGATTCTAAATGTGACCAGTGTCAGGGCTCAGTCAACGACTGGAGTCAAAGCTCAGCCTGACTGTTCCAGGCTCAGTCAGGGAGCAGAATCAAGTGCCGTCTGGGTGTGTGATTAAGGGTCAGGACTCGGTCCACGACCAAGATCAGGGCTCAGTCTTCCACTAGAGAAAGGAGAGAAGCCAAGCTTGTTTCCGCTTCTCCACGGGCCCCTGTGGGAATCTCATCCTCCCTCAGCCCAGGGCCCCGAGCCCGGTCCTCACCAGCAGGCGGGCATCGCAGCAGTTTTCCTCATCTGTGCCCTTCACGGTTCCTGTTGGGCTTCCCAAAGTTCACCTGAAAGAAGAAATCAGTAGCAGTTTTCAGCCTCCAGCTCTGGAGAGCTGAATAGAAATCAGACACCAGTGGTTCCCAGCATCCAGACGGTCAGACTGACAGGCATGGGACCACTCACATGCCACTCCATGTCTCTGAGCCTCAGTTAGATGACCTGCAAAATGGGCGTGATGACACTGCCCACCCCCACAGGATTGTTGCAGGGGTCCAGTGAAGTGGTGAACAGGAAGCACAGAGTGATCACCCAAGAACTGGGCCTGTGGCTGTTTTCTAGAAGGACTGCATTCAGGACCCTGATGCTGTCACTCACCCCATTTCTGTTGCCCCACAGCCCCAGCAACCTCAGTCCTGCCAGAGACCCAGGTCAAGGAAAGCCACCAGTGGCTGGAGGTAAACCCATAGCTCCTCATAAGAGGGGAAAGGGAAGGGATGGTGTTTACCATTAATGCCTACTGGATATTAGGCTTTTTCTGCTTTTTCTTTAAATCCACTCATCAGCTCAGCAGTGTTTATAATATCCTTTGACCTGTGAGGAATCCCAGGCGCAGGGAAGTGGAGCCAATTGACCCCCACCCCATAGTGGTTGAGTAGCAGATCCAGGATTTGAACCCAGATCTGGCCTGTCTTTCTCACATCATTCTGGGCAGCAGGTTCTACCAGTTTGACAAGAGGGCAGCAGAAGCTCTCAGAGGCCCACAGAGGCCTTCAGGCTGTGGGGACCCTTCTGTCCACAGTGTCCAGACTTGCTCAAGACAAAGGGTCCTCAGCTTCTCCAGGGATCCCTGACCGGACCTGCCAGTGGTCCAGGCACAGAGCGGACTGTGCCCCCCCATGAGGCTGCAGAGGGAGCCCCCTCCCCGCTTCCCCAGGCTGTGACTTACTGATGACTTTGTTAAGACAATCTGCACCCAGGCTTTCAAGGAGTTCGCGGGATCGTGGGCACAGCTGAGGGTCACACAGATCCAGGGAAAGACAGAGAGACACAGAGAGAGAACTGGAAAGAGGGAAGGAAAGAAAGAGGTCAGGAGCTGAGGAGGGAGAGGAGAGAGGGGAGAAGGAAGAGGCCTGGTTATTATCCGCCGTCAGCACCCTGCCCCCCACCCACAGAGATGCTCAGTACTGGGGGCCCCAGAACTTCCGACCCTTAGGGTTCTAGAACAGAGGAAACCTAGCAGGCCCAAATCTGAGAACCAGAAGACACTAGAACCCTAAAACCTCAGAGTATTAGAATCCTAGAACCTTAAAGAATCTAGATTTTTTATATTCCAGGACCCTATGCCCTTAAACACCTTGACCTCTGGACTCTGAAACTTTATAGAGTTAAATAGGGCCCTGGGAACCATAGAGAAATGGTTTTGTGTTTTTCACAATTTTGTGTGCCTACAGTTCCCTGAGGATATTGTTAAAAGGCAAGTTGTTGAGTGGCAGGTCGAGGGTAGGACCTAAGAGTCTGCATTTCTAACATGTGTCCATGGGAGGTCAGTGCTGCATATCTGAAGAACACACTTAGAGAATGACTCAAGTTCAGTAAATCACAGAACAACATAGAGGATCTTTTTTTTTTAATAAATCTAGATTTCCAGCCCCTTTCCCAAGTGACTAACATAGAATCTTTGGAATTTTGTGCACATGGTACATAGGGTATTTTTATGTGATACACTTGAATCTGAACTATAGTATGTATAGTTTTTGTATTTAAATGAATTAAGTTTGTGTTGAATGAAGAAAAATATTAGCTAAAAGTCCTGCTGGCAGTCTATGCATATGGTAAATGGATCAAGCACGGGACCCAGTGATTTCAACTCAGGGCAGTTTCCTGCTCACCTCCTCCCCAGGTCAGGCTGACTGAAAGGGGACAGGTAACAACTCACAGCCCAAAGGGGAGTTGGCCCCACAGAAAGGAAGGTGTTCAGAGAGTACAACCTACCCAGGGCAAGTCACCCCTGCCCCCACCTGGCCTGGCTCTGCATGCCCAGGTGTGGGGGACTCACCTCATAGTGTGTTACAAGGGACAGCACTTCATGCACGAGGTTGATTGCAAAATCCATAACCTCACTGAGCAGTCCAATGCGCCTGGAGAAGAGATGAAACTGATAAATCGTGATGAAGTTGGCTCAGCAGGCAAGCAGGAGCAGTGGGAAGAGGGCAGAAGATGGTGGAGCTCCTTGAAGTCAGGTGACCAGAGCCTCTACCCAGGGTTACCATAACTTAGAAACTCATGGTTGACCAGCAGCCCACACCAATAGCTCATGTGAGTCTCTTGACAACCCTGAGACTTCATCCATTCATTCATCCATCCTTCCATCCATCCATCTCTAGTCATCCATTCATTCATTTGTCAACACATATTTAGAGAACACCAACTATGTGTCCAGAACCAAGGCCGACTGGGGACACAGTGATAAACAAAGCAGAAGCGATTCCTAACACGGTACCTAGGACATTGGCTAAATATTGGCTAAAAGGTTCATTCGGAGTTTTCTGTAACAGCTTATGGGAAAACCACAAAGACTTTTTGGCCAACCCAATATTATCCTGTTTTCCTAAGGCTGGCTCCTTCCCACCTTCAGCTCTCGGTGTAACTGTCACCCTCTCCCGGCAGCCCTCGAGACTGCTTGCCTAAGGGAGGGTTTGGTGTCGTAGCACCTTATTAGGTGTGCTGTTCTGCTCAGGGATGATTGCAATTCAACAATTTCCTTGTGGGCTCTTTACTTCTGGACTGAATGTTCACCTGTCTGTTTTTCCCTCCAGAGACTAAGCTCCATGAGAACAAGCTCCTTGCCCTCATTCACCAGTAAATTCTCCAGAGTTTAGAATGGTGGCTGTGGCATGGAGCAGATGCTCAAGACATTTTTGGCTGAAGGAATAAATGAAGTAAACATGCGATTGAATATACAATGATAACTTGTGACAAGTATTCAGAAGGAGGAGAGTAGAATCTTAAGAGAGAGAAGAGGCAGAACCTTGTTTTAGTCCCTAAATGACAAGACAAACGTGGAAATGGGATGCAGGAAAGGTGTCCTAGGTGCCTGAACAGCCCGTGCACAGGTCTTGAGTGGAAGGAGTTTCCCTGAAACACAGAGCAAAAGCTAGCAGGTCTAGGGCAGAGTGGGCAAGGTGTGTATCTAGATCAGGTGAGCTAGATGGCCCTGGGAGGGCCTGAGATTCCACCCAAAGTGGAGAGAAAAGCCCCCAAAGGGTTTGGAACAGCAGAGTGGAATATCATTTTACAGATATGGACCTTAAAACCCAGAAGGCAGAATGATTTCCCTGGGATTATAGACATTGGCCAGCAAGGCTCAGGCATTTGGACTTGCATCTCAGTCTTTCCAAGTGATGGGAAAGCTGCAGAGCCTATCTTTGGCTCAGGGGGTCTTTAGACAAAATGTGATCCTATCCCTTGTAGAGGCAGGATGCACTAACCTCTGCTCATGGCTCAGCCTTGTTTCCTGCCAAGGCCAACCTGCCCCAGCCTTCAGTTTTCAGATCGTTTCTCCTCTCCCAGCCAGGACCAGGATCAGCCTTTCTCTTTCCACCCTCTTCCCTGGGCTAAACATGGTTTTTCAAGCACACAGTTTAAGATGTAGATTTGGTGGGTTATCGGAGAGCAGTGATTTAAATGGAGACGATTCAGTTTTCAAGATCTCATTTGAGGAATTTCCCAGTGGGTGGAGGATGATTTGGTGACAATCTGAAATTAGAGCCCATGGTAGGCATTTACTACTTCTCTTGCTGTCTTCTAGCTAGACGCAAGAAGATAAACACAGTGAACAATTATTATTATCATTATTATTATTGAAGGATATTATTTAATATGAGAAGGATCAGTTCTTCAGGTAGAGATAACAATGCTAAATGTGCAGGCATCTAACAACAGAGCTTCAAAAAGCATGAACCAAAAACAGATAAAGCTGAAAGGAGAAATACTCCAGTTCACAGTTATGGTTGGAGAGGTCAACACTCCTGTCTCAGTAAGGGGAAGAATGAAGAGACAGAAAGTCAGAATGGATAGTTTCATTACCTGAGAGCTTAGTATGTTGCAGGCTGTATTCTAAATACGCATTTTCTCATTTAACCACCACAGGAGGCTGAGTTAGGTATTATTACCATCCTCAGTTATACAGAGGTGAAAACTGAAGCTTCTAGAGGCTAAATTGATACCAAAACCACAAGTTAGTGGCAAAGCTAACTTGACTCCAGAGTTTGACCTCTTCTTTACCATACTCTTCTCTCTCCCAGATAATGAATAGGGCTGAAATTATGGGTCCCAATCCCTCTGAGATCCGCTCTCTGCTGAGATGTGTGGACCTGACCTGCCCAGCACAGTGAATGAGATGCTGTGTTGATTGTTCTTGCATTCTTCCACGAACACCTTGGAGACACCAGTCTCTTCATCAGTTTCAATGCTGACACGAAAACTGGAGGACCAAGTTGAGGGCCAAGTCGACAATCTCACCCAACACAGGCCTGCAGGAAAATAGATTCACAGTAAACCGAGGTGGAGAAGTCCCTTCACATTGCCCACTTTAGTCTCCCTTTTGCGTGGACATTGTATGGGATGTCCATGAACAGGCACAGGAAGGCTTGATCCATGGGGTCACAAAAAGTCAGACAGGATTAGTGACTGAACAACAAATGGACAACGTCAATATTGTCTGTATTCTTTATACAGAATGTAGGAATCTACATTCTTACATCAGGATTTTTTTTCCTGGCCAGAAGTGTTTGACTCATGTGAAATTTCTACGGAGTATCACACCAATGATTAAAATAAAAGTAAGATCTAACATTTCTTAAGCAAAGTGCTACAATAGGTATTTCCAAAACAGTATTTTACTTGGATTAATCCATGTAATCTCAACAGGAATACCATGAGAAAAGAAGCACTATTATTATTTCTGTTTTCAGAATGAGGAAACACATGGTATAGAGAAATAAAGGAACTCTCTCAAGATCTCATAACTAATGAATGATGAAGTCATAGTGCATTTTAATTTATAAGACCCTTCTACACAGCCTCAATTTCCTATCTCTTTGTATCTTCAAAGTAACTAAAATACTTCAGAATTGTATTTTCCACATAATTTTATATGCTCTTGATTACATACTGTACACTACTACATGGCCCGTACCGGTTACTGCTTTTTAAAGAGAATCTTGAGAGATGAAATGATGCTGGAAAAAACTTTGCCAAAGAGTGATAAATGTTCATGTCTTCTCAATTCTCAAGTTTTATGATTAGATAAGTGCCTGATTTCAAATTGGAGATCTATAGGCCATACCGCACTGCATCTCGCAAACCTCGGATTCTAAGCCATACTCACAGTTTCACGTTGACATCAGCAGTGATAGGGATCCTCAGTTTAACAATGTTTTCAGAAGTCGCTTCAAATATGACATTCAGGATGTGGACGTTCCTGGTTTTCACCCTGTGCAAAACCCACAATTGACCCTTGTCATCCCTCCTGACAGCCATTGCTGGGCTCTTCTCTATGTCAGCAGTGTGCTGAGCATTTGAGCCTCACGGACCTTGCCTGCTTTGTTCTTCATATGAGCCATGCTCAGGGGTTGGATTCTCTCCATTGGACGGCAAGGCAGACTGAGGATCAGATGGCTGTGATTTCCCTCAAGACCCCAAGGGTGAATATGTGCCAGAGCCAGGATTTATATATATATTTTTAATTGATATACAGTTGCTTGACAATGTTATGTAGGTTCAGGTGTGGGGCTACCATGGTGGCTCAGAGGGTAAAGAATCTGCTTGTAATGCAGGAGATGCAGGTTTGATCTCTGGGTCAGGAAGATCCCCTGGAGAAGGAAATGACAACCCACTCCAGTATTCTTGCCTAAAGAATTGATGGACACAAAGAGTCAGAGACGACTGAGCAGCTGACACTTTCACTTTTCACTAGGTTCAGGTATACCGCAAAGTGACTCAGATATAGAGAGATAGATAGATAGAGATGCATTTCTATTTCAGATTCTTTTCCCTATAAGATATTACAAAATATTAAGTATAGTTCCCTGTACTATATAGTAGGTCCTTGTTGGTTGTCTATTATATATATAGTAGTGTGTATATATTTATGCCAAACTCCTAATTTATCCTCCACGCTGCTTCCCCTTTTGGTAATCATGAGTTTGTTTCTTTTATGTCTAAGAGTCTGTTTTGTATTGGTTCTTTTGTATCATATTTTAGATTTCACGCATTAGTGGTGTCTGTGATATATGTTGTTCTCTGTCTGACCTACTTCACTTAGTATGATTATCTCTACATCCATCCATTTGTTGCTTTAAGTAAGTACCATTATTTCATTCCTTTTTCACGCAGAGCCAGAATTAGAACTCTGAACTTCTTGACTCCCAGCCTTCATGTGTGGGACCACCTATGTGGTGTGAATTCTAGGTTCATTTCTCCGGAGACCATTTAAACTTTTATGCTCAACTATATTCAGAGAAGAAAAGTCATATTCCTTGGGAAAGGGACACTAGGCACAGTCAAACAGGCGGAGGTGGGGGTGAAGAGAACCTTCATCCCGACCCTGAATTCACAGAAGAACGCCCAAACTCATGAGATGCCAAACAGGCCCCACAGACCTGACTCGAATTTTCCCATGCTTTGGTAGAGGTGGCCTCAGACCACTTCTGCTCTGCAAGAGCAGGGGATCTTCCCAACCAAGGGACTGAACCCAGGTCTCCTGCATTGCAGGCAGATTCTTTACCAGCTGAGCTACCAGGGAGGCCCAAGAATACCGCTGTGGGTGGCATATCCCTTCTCTAGCAGATCTTCCCCACCCAGGAACTGAACTGGGGTCTCCCGCACTGCAGGCAGATTCTTTACCAGCTGAGCTACCAGGGAAGCCCTCTGTGAGAACATGTAAGATTTATTCAACTTTTTGCCTTTGATACTAAACTTACATCCCCAAAGAGATGTATTCCCTTTTCTGGGAACAAATATCTCCAAATGAAGCATTAACTCATGCTGTAAGTCTGTACACTACTTGAAAAATTCCAGAAATGAGCTGTTCCAAAGAATTGAGACAAGTGCTCAGGGCTGGTGCACTGGGAAGACCCAGAGGGATGGGATGGGGAGGGAGGCGGGAGGGGGGATCGGGACGGGGAACACATGTAAATCCATGGCTGATTCATGTCAATGTATGGCAAAAACCACTAGAATACTGTAAAGTAATTAGCCTCCAACTAATAAAAATAAATGAAAAGAAAAAAAAAAGAATTCGTAAGTTCCTCGAACTTCACCTGGATCTCCACCAATGCGTTGAATTCCTGGAGCAACATGAAATCAGTCTTCAACTGCTAAAAGATAGCTGCAAAACAGTCTGCATTTAGTGTGGTACACAACTTATGAAGCAGCTCCTAGGCACCAGGTCCTAAATGAGACTATTTGCCTATGCTTTTTATTTGTTGTTTGTAACAACTCCACAGAATAGGCATTACTAATATCTGCACTTCCAGATGAGGAAATAAAAAATCAAAAGTTTAAGAAATGCATCAGAGTCGCACAACAAGGAGACCTTGTTCTTTCTATGCTGCCTTTATGCTAATATGTACTCATTATACATCAACAGAGCCATCAACCCACTGAGCAGAAAATAGGTTTTGATTGCACATCAGCATCTAGTAGTGAAGCACTAATGAGCTGCTCATACAACAAAATAAACTTAGAAGAGAATAAGAATTGGAAAATCTAGAATCAAAGACAATATACAGATGTAAATCATGAAAATGGCAGATAGGAATCCCTGAATGACAGCTTTGCCTGAGACCTAGAAAGAGATGACTCACACAGGAGAACAAGGACAGAGTCCTAATGGACAGAGAAAGAGGGATTTGATAGAGGAAGTCACATGGCAATGTAGAATGGCACATTTGAAAAGTAATAAGAAAATCACTGTAGAAAATAATCCAAATGAGAAACAACAAGGAAACAGCTGACTCCAAGAATAAGAAAGGGCTACAAGAATATGTATGTAATCAAAGTACTGCAACATGGCTTTGCAATGGATAGGACCTAGTTATAGTGATGCAGAGATGGAAAGTACATCTGGTCCCTTACCTTATCAGGTAACTTTGATGCAGACACTCCTGCTTCTGAGCTCAGTTTAATCAGCAGTGAAATCGGAAAGTGAGTCCCTCCTGTATCTTTCAGGTCGCCAGGCTTCCCTGGTGGCTCAGATGGTAAAGAATCTGCCTGCAATGCAGGAGACCTGTGTTCAATCCCGGGGTCAGGAAGATCCCCTGGAGAAGGAAACGGTAAACTGCTCCAGTATTCTTGACTGGAGAAATTAATGGACAGAGGAGCCTGGTGGGCTACTGGCCACAGGGTCACAAGGAGTCAATCACAACTGAGTGCCTAACACTTTCACTTTCATCTCTATGACTCTTGTCCCCATAGCCTTCCGTAGGCCTCCATGTCAAGTGACATTAATGGGGAAAGCCACCACTCACAGGTTTGAATAAAAATACTTACAAAATCCTTGCTCCTCTGCACAGTCTCCTAGAATTCTGCTGAGCGGTGATGGCCCTTATATTGAAGGCGAAGAGGTGGGAGGCTGCCACGGAAATGAGCTCTGTATCCAGAGCCATCCAAGGAGACTCTAATGAAAATAACCCCTGTCCAGAGTGAGCAGAGAGACTTCCAAAGCAAAAGTCATCCAGGATGCTTGAATTGGATGGATATGGAGAAGAATTTGTGCCAAAACTAGAGCAGGTTTCATGGAGCCTCCAGCTACCAAGATGGTGGCTATGCTGGTGGTGGGCTGGGGCAAAATGAAGATGAATTGGAGAATATTCTGGTAGAAGGATCCATAGAGATCTTCAAGCTAAATTTTATCAGCCTTTGGAAACTCAGGCTCAGAGAGGGAAAGCAGCCAGCCTGTAAGACGCAGACAGAGATGGGGCTAGACGTGTGGCCCATGGCATCAGGGTCAGTGACCAGTGAGGTCATTCTTCCCAAACCTTCTCTTGTGTCTGAGAGCTCTCCATAACATCCCTCACAGTGGAACCAGCCTCAGGACAAATGTTTGCAATGATGGGTGGCTCAGCACCCATCCTCTGCCATCTGCCCACTCCATTGAGTCAGCAGATTTTCTCCTGAGAGTGAATATAGTCTGCCTCCATATATATCCCCATATATGCAATATCCCTCTGCACACTTGCCCCCAACCCCTCTACTCTCAATGCAGGTGCCAGAAGTTAAAGCTCTCACCTTAAACAAAAGTCCCCAAGATAGCTCCTATGTCATCTACTCACTGCCATCCCAAACTCATCACCTCTCTCTCATGGCCATACTGTCTTCCTTCTTTTCCAGAAAAATATGAACATCATTTCTGCTTTGGCCCTCTGCACAGACCATTCCCTCTTTACAGAACTCTCCTCTTGAAGTCAGTGTGAGTTGGGTCCTACCATCGAAACTTACAGTAAGTTCTGATTTAACACATTTGTATACTCACATCGCCTCCTCCCTTTAGATGATAACTCCAGGTTCAAACAGCCACATTGGAAACATAACAGACATCAAAGCCACTGCAGAGTTTAGAGTTCAACTTAACCTCCTTGCGGGGATAACTGAGGAACCTATGGTCCAGAGAAGGAGAAGGACGCATCCAAAGCTACGTGTGATTTGAACCCAACATGTTTTCCTTTTCTATTTCATATCTTTACAGTTTTTTCAAATTTTCTACTGGGACAATTGTTTTTTAAAACAAAAGATTAAATTTTTTATAAACTAATTTATCTATTTTAATTGAAGGCTAATTACTTTACAATATTGTGGTGGTTTTTGCCATATATTGACATGAATCCGCCATGGGTGTACATGCATGTGTCCCCCCATTCTGAATCCCCCTCCCACCTCAATCCCCATCCCATTACTCTGGGTTGTCCAAGAGCAACAGCTTCGAGTGCCCTGCTTCATACATCAAACTTGCACTGGTCATCTTTTTCACATGTGGTAATATACATGTTTCAATGCTATTCTCTCAAATCATCCCACCCCTGCCTTCTCCTACAGAGTCCAAAAGTCTGTTCTTTGCATCTGTATCTCTTTTGCTGTATTGCATATAGGATTGCCATCTTTCTAAATTCTTTCTAAATATATATGCATTAATATACTGTATTGGTGTTTTTCTTTCTGACTTACTTCACTCTGTATAACAGGCTCCAGTTTCATCCACCTCATTAAACCTGACTCAGATGAGTTGTTTTTTATAGCTCAGTAATATTCAATTGTGTACATGTACCACAAGTTTCTTATCCATTTGTCTGCTGATGGACATCTTGGTTACTTCCATGTCCTAGCTATTGTAAACAGTGTTGCAAAGCACATTGGGGTGCGTGTGTCGCTTTCAATTCTGGTTTCCTCAGTGTGTATGCCCAGAAGTGGGATTTCTGGGTCCTATGGCAGCTCTAT